TCGTCCGCGACGACGTAGCCCTTCCCGCCGCTCCCGCGCTGCTCCATGACGCGCGCGAGCAAAAAGGCGTGCGTGCTGCCGCCGCCCTCGCGCTGCGGGCGCCAGTAGTCGCCCGTCTCCAGCGCCACGAAGTCGCCGACGTTCAGCGACTCCGCGAGCGTCCACCGACGGCCCCCAACTAAGGGCTGCCCCGCGGCGGCAACGACGACGGGCTGCCCGTAGAACCGGCCACGTTCGCGGCGCACCTTCGGCTGTGCGCGAAGAAGTAGAGAGTGCGCGCCATGGTCCAAAACCCATGATCAGCAGACCATGCAAACGACGCTATCGACACCGATGTCGATTTCGAGCGGCTGTATCTGGGCTGAAATGCGCCAATTGCGCATTTCAGGCGAGGCGCTGATTGGCTACGCAATGGTTCCAGCGCTTCGCTCCGCTGGAGGCGGCCAGGACCGTCCCCCGCGGGCGCGCCCCCGCGCCACCCACGTCCCAGGGGGGCCTGGGACACGTCCGGCCAGGCGCCGGGGCCGAAGACGTCAACCCTGAATTAAACGGAGTTTCAGGGGGGAGTCGACCGCGACATGTAGAGAACGAAATATATATATATATCCAAGAATCCAATCCGCTGATCCCATTGGTCGGACGAGATCTCAGCGTGCTGAGTTTCGAGCATGGTCCAACGATCTCTGGCGCTGCGTTGGGCATGTTATGGTTCACAGGGGAAGAAAACGAGAGTAGTTCGCAGTAGGAACTCGGGGTCAGAGATCCTGAAACTTCAGTCCGTCTCGTGGGGGAACACGCAGAAGCTGAGATCTCTGTTCCCCGCCCCCCAGCGCCGCGCGACGCGCCCACCGTGGCGTGTTCGACTTCTGCTGCCTCTCGCTCGACATGGAGTGACTTTTCGAGACCGCCGACCCCGACTTCGTACGGCGAAGTGCTCTCAGTTTCTTCCACAGTGGCCCGGAACATGCCGAACGCAGCGTCAGATATCGTTCGACCATCGTTCAACCCCCTCAATTATCATTTGTCCGAATCCCGAATAATGAACCGTTCGTTCTGTGTACGGACCCTAGCCAAAGGCAAAGAGTGCTACCACATAGGCATTATCACTGTAGAAGATGCCTGTATTTAGTGGTATACCGTTGGGTTTCCAGGATGACTTTACGAAGTTGAATTGTGCAAAGTAGATAGCTCGAGTTGTCTCAGAATGTGGCGGGAGACTGGCCTAAGGTAACTCATATATAACTAACTTAGCTTGAAGTTGGCAGCGCAGTGGTCTTGTACCTACAACCTGGCTTTAAGACAGTCATAGCGAGCGACGAAGGATACATATCTGGATTTCTATGACGTTGCTCCTTTTCTTTCTTACTCACTTAACTCCAGCGATTGAGGACAGAGAGCCCGATCGCAGATTAGGCTGCCTACTTGAGTAGGGAGTCTACTAACTAGATTTTACCATACCCTAGCCAAGAGTCAGGCTGAGGGCAAGTTACCTCCATATTTTGGTCCCAGCTACCGGAAACTGGAGTCCTCAGAGTCCACTCAGTCAGCGTCAACCGCTGAGTGGGGGTTCGACAGGCCAGGTTTCCAAGAACCAGATACAGAAGCCGGAGTCTTAGCACCCACACTTAGATCAGAGATAGGTGCGGTCCTAAGACCGCTTGATCTCAATACAGGATTACGAGGATATCGTGCACCTGAAACGATGGACAGTGATGACGAAGATCTGAGAGAACCAACGGTTCAGTCACAGCCACGTACTGTCTCGGAAGGACAGATGCAAATACTAGGTGACATATTTTCGCAAGCGGACTTGTCGGTCCCAGCGATCCCTCCCCCATCACCAGCGCCGCTTCAAGACGGTGCAGGAGATGATGATTTATCGAGCCGCCAGAGCGACTCGACGTCGCAGAGGCAAGACCAAATAAAACTGTATGGGCTTCGCTATGTGACCCAAATTGATGCAATATTAAGAAGTATGGCAACCGATCATGGTACGGTGATTCCTCGAGTCAGACAGGCCATTGAACAGGCTAACGCCCCTGACGCGTTGGTCGTGAGAGATTATCTAGAGGCCTTGAAAAACAAGGCGCTCAGTCTGAAACAAAAAACTTTCATGGATGATCAATTAACTGAAAGAGTAAGATTGGCAACAATAGGGAAAATTGGCATGATTGAATGCGAGGTCCAAATGACATGGATGGAAACAGAGTCCTTTATTACAGGGCTTGACCCCAGCAGAGTTGAAGGGCTTGGCCCATATGCACAACCAGCCAGAGATCCGACACTTTCGGGAAACGCGAACGGCAAGACTGCTCTCGTAAGATCGTTGACGGGAGAAGTACCCCCGTCAACGCCCAGGCCTAAAACTAAAGAAGAGCCAGACCTTCCGGAGAAAAGGGAAGAATCCATTTCGCCAGCCCAGTCCAACAGGATGAAAGAACCGTTGAACGACGGTGATTCAGGTTGTATTGGTTTACCCGCTCCAGTCCCAGATCCTAAGAAGTTGTTTAAGGAGATGACAAAAAGCGAATTGATAAACTGGTATTCACTAGCACAGAAAGCGATTTATACAGCTTCGTTCTCAAATTCAAAGAAATATACGCATTTTGACGAGAGTACGTTGCAAAACAAACTAACGCAGTTTGGAGCACATACTCAATGTGTGGCACCGGTGACTTTGGAAACTGCGGATCAGATTCGGACACTCTCCAATCTGGGTAAAAGCACCACACACTTGATTATGAAATCTGCGTACGAGAGAAAGAAAATGTGTGATGAGATGTTTACCCTGTTTCAAAAAGCGTACCTAATGGACGTGGAACGAGCAGCAGAGAAGGATTCGATATTTGACCAGCAGGATAAGTATGAAGAGCTAAAGAAAGTGACACAACCCTACTGTGTACCGGACTTAGCCAAGTGCACTATCAGCGAGTACCACCAAGCGTTTATGAACAAAATAGAACGCTTAGAGATAGCTGACGCGTCGAACAAGAAAGAGGTGTGCATGGCTTTGATGGATGGTTACATCGAACCGATATATTTGACAGTGAAGAAGGATGCAAGGGTGGGTGAACGTAAACACTTGTACTCCAACATCATGTCTATACAGCTTCAAGCAAGAAAATTTGAAGACGAGCTGCAATTGGACCACCAGAGAAGATTGTATGCCAAGTACTTTCTTGAGAAAACCAGCATCAATGTAGGAAGCGCATCATGCGAATGGAAACCCGGTGTGAAGAATTATAAAGTGTCTCCACGGGAAAGTAAGGCCCCACCAGTGCCCAGAGCACCACGTCCTGGAGCAGGGGCAGCGTCGAATACGAATCAATCAGACTCAAATGGACCTAAGGATCCTGAATTCTGGCAAAGTGAATCAGGTCAAGAATATGCAAACAAAGCTAGGGTCAAAGCGGCTGAACTTTTAGCGAAGTTTGATTTGGTCATAGATGATAACGAGATTGTTAGAGCAAGTCTCGTCTGTTGGAATTGTGGAAGCTTCCACATGAAAACAGGATTAAAACAAAAGAAAGATGTTAAAGTTGATCTGCGAATTCCATGCTCTTGGATGAAACAGCATGGTAACCTGCCAAAGAACGTGATGACAGTGCGTAAGGCTGTTATTGACGCAGGCAAGGACGCCGTTCTGCCTAAAGGCTGGAGAGATAGAGAGAAGCCCAAAGGAGGAGCCAATGGTACTGGCAGTCCACCTGAAGAGCCACCAAAGGATGATCCAGACGCAGGTATAAGGAATCAGCCACTGAGGCTGCCAGGCAGTGCAAATTTTACCGTAGCAAACGAAGCTTTGCATGATATGTGCCGCAGCCATCGCCTTGATGATGAAGCTGTGCGTGACCTCTACCTATGCAGGCGAAGTGAATTTACCCATGCAGACGAAGTTTTGCGTGTTAAACGGAAATTTCAGGAACGACTCCAAAAAGAAGATGAGAGCTACCGACTTCTTCAAGAAATGCAAAAGGACTCGCATGCAAATGGCATCCGATACTCCTCTGTATTGAAGAAGAGGATGCGTCGGAATTTCAGTCCGCCTATTACGAGAGCAGCCAAGCGTGGCAGAGACGAGCCTAGTCGCCGTCAGAGAAAACGTGCGAGGTCGCACTCGAATTTTTCAGGGGGGACCCGCGATGGGTGGGACACTCCAGGAGAACCCGGGTGGAGCCGGAGCCAGCCAGCGCAAGGCTGGGGCGTGACCCTTAGTCGTGACGCTCCATTACCTGCCAAGGTAGCTCCGTTACCTGCTGAAATTGTTGTTGAAGACGTGAGTCAATTAGAAACAGCACAAGGATTGGCAGAGTCACAGGAGAGGCGCCCGAAATTAGAGGAAGAGGAACCAGCAGAGACCTACTGCCAGAGAACACAACCAGTAACAAACATGAAAGTGCCCGGAAAGCAAACTCTCATGGGCCCAGCTCCGCGCTATGATGACAATCCGGACACCAGGATCCAGGTAGGTGACATGGTAAGCTACGTATGGCCGGAAGAATCCAAAGAAACGCGCGGACCTTGGACTTGGGTGGTGACGCTGGTTACGATGAACGGAGTAGAAATCAGACCAGCTAGAGCACTCGAGAGAAGCTTACAGTCCGGAGGAGAGGACCTAAGACCCAAGCGAAAAGATATTGTGTTTTCCAAGTACTGCTCTCATGGACCTCTAGCAAAGGACATCAGATTATGCGTAGACCCGTGTCGTCAGCCAACTTGTGTGTGGTGCAAGCAACACGGAGTTTTCGATTACAAAAACAGAACCACATTTGAAAGGGACTCCCTACCGGAAGTCGCCAACACTTGGGTTTCTGACGACATCCACATGGCTAAGACCTTGGCCAGAGAGGATGTCTCTACGTCAATGAAAGTAATCGAGAAAACAATGAAGCAGCAAGGAATGCTGCAGCCACCCACAAAGAGGATGTTCACATCTCTCACCTGGGTGCCAGCTAAATTTTCCAGGAATGACAGGGATATTGTAGCCGCTGGGCTATGGGATTCTTGTTGTAACCGAGCTTTTATAGACGAGCACTTTTTTAAGACATTGTGCGCGCGTGAGCTCACGTATGGGATCCAGCAATATAAGGACAAACCTGACATAAATGGCAGTTGCGGGGGTAAACAGAAAATCTGGGGCTGGACAGCGGTC